ATATATATATATATATATTATGAATTAATGTCTTATATTTGACCACTAAAGTTTAAATTTTATTTTAATTATAACAATAACTAATTATGTATATAATTAATTATTAAAATAATATAATTTTTACTTTTATTTCAAACTCACATGTGTATGTATGATGAATTATTATTATAATCAAAGTATATATATTTATTTTGGATAAATTTTCTAAAAAATATTTTAAGATATTTAATTTTATCTTTTTAGATATTGTACCTGTTTAAGGGCACACTCGTAATCTTCTAGTGGGAGAAGGGCCGAACGGGAGCTTCAGGTGGATGCTTCAGAGGGGGGAGGTACTTACAAAAGACACTCCGACGCTCAAGTCAGGACAAACACAATTCTTGAGAGTAACAAATGAACAGTGACATACCTCGTTTCCATTGACCTATTTATACTACCTGTCATGGGCCCTAAGTGTGGTGGGTCTCTTCTGACACTTACCAAATTAGGTAATACGATGCTAATCTGCTGATTATGCCTTAATTGTGCGTTTTCCCTTATTAATCATGATCATTGTCCTAACTGTTCTGACCCTATCGGCCCATGGCTGAGACGACCTCTTCGTTCTCGGCCTTTGGCCGAGCCGATAGGAAATGGGTTGGGTTCTCCATAGTTCTCGGCCTTTCGCCAAGCCGAAGTCATGTCCGGACTGCGTCAATATATGATAGATCATGACGTGTCGGTCCACGTGACAGATATGTCCTTTGTGCCGATGTTCGATAGGACGTCACGTGTCGGTCCATGTGGCCGATAGGACCCTTCCGGTACAGATACAATAAAAAAATCACTTTTACATAGTAAAGACAACCTTAAAAAAGAGAAAATATTAATATAAGAAATGATGTTTCAAATAATTTTTAAATTTTTTAAAAATTTATAAATTTGATCTGTGCGTTAAGAACTTTAAATTCAACAGTTGGATCGTTGAGATTTGATATAGAACATGAGTTATTAAACAGAATAAATCTAGGTAAACTTATTTCTAGAATAAACGGATCCTTCTTTTATATATATATATATATATATTGTCCTAGAGCAATATACATAGAACTAACAACACCTTTCAACATACAATATGTAATAAATTTTTCTAACCTATCCATGTTCACCAAATAATCAGGAAAATAAAAAGTTGAAATAAAGCAACCTGTGCTTGACATTGTCTACCATGCGCCCAATGCCATTAAGGTAGAGAGTCCTCTCTGCTTCACCCATGTTCAACGTCATACAACTCATGCCTAGTGTGGATTAGGTAGAGACCTCTTAGCTCTCATGCTTGATGTGGTAAAGCCTCACGCCTAACCCGAATTCAAACAGAGATAGTTCTCTTTTCTCACGCTTGATGCCACTCCTTTGACGCCTAACACTCAATGACATTCAAACCATGTCTAATGTCATTTCAACTTGAGATAATTCTCTCTCATCATGCTAAATGTCACCAATTTCGTGCTTGACGTGAATAAGACAAAGAACCTCTAATTGAAACCACGTCCGATCATCATGAAGGTACACCTAGTGTGACAATGAGTTTTTCATTTAGTAGACCACGAATTTGGCTCAAACCACCTGAAATATAGGAAGTCTTAGGCATGAAAAATAATATACCATACATGTACATCATCCATAACTCATTTTGCACCATAATTGCAACATGCAACAACAATATTTATTAATCACCAAGATTCACCCTCATAAGTTCAAAACACCCAAAATTCATAACCCCATTTATTCTATCTGAATTCAACTAGCACAACAATGTAGTAATGAACACAAATCAACTGTCCAACTCAAAAATCAACAAGAATCATTTCTAGCTTCCTTTACCTCACCAATCCAAGAGGAAAAAGGAAGAAGAACTCTAAGCTACTATAGGAAAACTCCACACGACAACATCATAGATTCATGGCTTTAAAGACATGAATCAACAAACAACACTAATCAAATCTCTAGGTAAAGAATTTGCCCTCTTAAGAGAAAGATCAGAGAAGAAGAAAAACTCACAGACTTTAGAGAGCTTCTCTCTAACTTATCTCTCCACGTTCTTTGATAAATGAGTTTATAAGACTCAATTTTTAAAAGAAACATTATATACTTCCTTTCTCCCTTTAAGTTCAAACTATACCTTTACCCAAAGGAATCCTCTAAAACACCTAAAAACTCATGAGGAGTTCCTTAACTCCTAGACTCTCTCAACACCACAACTCACAATGCCTCAACACATAATTATATTGTTGAAAGACAATAACTAACGAAAATTTACAATGTTACAAAGAGGACAATTACCATTAAGTTCTTCCTCACTTCTACCAAAGGAGTTTTTCTCTTCATTAAATATAGTAAAAACACTCATTTTATTGACACATCTTTACTTGAGATCTTTCAGAACAACCTCTTATTTTGCAAAATCCTAAATTTTATAATTTATGATTTACAATCCTAAACCTTTAGCAAGAACAGATGAATAAATTAAAAATGACTGAGATAGAAAAAATTAATTATAGGAAATCCTACAAAATCTAATAACAATCTTCCATTTTAACTAGAGCACTCATGGCCAAAATATTTAGACATGAAAAAATGTTTGTTACTAATTAGAAAGTACTAAAACATTACATATGGTCCATATTAGCTAGGTAATTAGAAGAAAGAAATCAACTTGATTGTTCAAGAACCTAATAGAATTAGTTATTGAGTATAATAAAAAGATTAACTTAATAACATAATTAAAATTTAGGAACCCATGTATCATAAAACAAATATTTCAAGGACCTATTAGTCACCTCCACAATCTTTCCGGGACCAAATTGAATGTTTATTCATTAATTATTTGTATTTAATTTTTTAATCATGTTTAGTAAATTTCCTATATCCAAACTTCATTCATTTAGGCATAAATGTAGTAAAGCTGCAACATATCATTAATTTGTATAAATTAAAAAATAAATGCCAAAACATTTAATTAAAAATGAAAAATAAAATGCAACAACTCTTTTATTTCCCTTTAATTATTTTTATATATTTTTCTTTACAAATTTTTTCAGATCAGTGATAAGTACATTTTTATAAATAAAAACTTCAAATAAATAAAATTAAAGATTTAATTAATTATTTTGTTCTTCCCATTGCGCTAACTTTTCGTTTTAGTTTATACCTAAAAATTCTATGTTTTTGTCCCTGGAAAAATAATTTTAATTTTTATTGTTATTTTATAACGGAATAAAAGTTACACAAAATAAAGACATAAGGATAAAAAAAACACAAACAAAAATAAAAATTACTTGTACAGAGACTAAAAAATGTATAGTCTTTTAATTAAGTACAGGATTAACACAAGGTTTGTTTAAGTATAAGGACTAAATAATTAAATCATAATGAAATATAAGTAATTGAAATTAAAGAAACTAAAACAGTAAATAAACCAAAATAATAGTTGATAGTTGATACTATTCTGTGTAATTAATTTTAAATTTTTTTTAGGAACTCTGTGGAATGTGGCCACATGCTGCGCACGAAACCCATCGTTTTCTTAAACATGATAACACAAACTGAAAACCCATCTTCTTTATTCATCAATAATACTATAATACAAATAAAAGGGGTTCTACACTAAGAAACCCATTGGCGATTGATCCAGAACAAGCCTATGTATGACTATGACCACATCACATCGCAAACTAACCACACATCAGAAATCACCTCCACTCTTGAAACATTATGTAACAACCACTTAATACCACTACTGGCGGGCCATAATAGAGAAACCAGACATGGGCCCAGCCCGAGACGTGGCCGCATGGGCGATGTTGATTTGAGAACGGGCCTGGCCCAAACTGTAGTCACAGTAGTTCCTGACAGCCCATAGCTCATAGGGCGAGGTGTCGGTGGCTAGCCACTGCTCCACCGTGAACTGCTGCTGAGAGCAGGATTTGTGAACCCCGGTGGTGGTGACCTCCACGTAGTTAACGTACCAGCCGTGATGTGGGCCCGACCCATCAGAAGTTAAGTTGACCGCGCAAACGGGCCCTTCCAAACAAGGCCCTCTGCCGCTGAATATGTCGAGGTTGCCGCGCTCGTAGTAGTTGTGGCCCGGATCCATTAACCCGCCCCATGCCTCCAGGTCCGTGATGTATATGTAGTACCCGTTCCCGCTGTATAGCTTCAGCCCAATAACGGAATCGGTTCCTCCCTTTATGATTGATCCTGTCCGAACGTACACCGTGTACACACAATCTTCCTCCTACATTAAATAAATATATATATATATTATTTATTCATCGGTGAAAGTAATTAGAAAATTAAAAATAAAAAAAATTAAGATGAGTGAGATTTTGGGGTTTACCGATCTGACAGCTCCGGCGAAGCATAGTGAGAGAAGGAAGAGAAGGAGAGGGAGGAGTTTTGGTTGGGTTGCCATGGAATATGGATGGATATGGGGTTTGTGGAGTGATGAAATTAAAAGAGTAGTAATACTAATACTATGGCTGATATATAGGTTGTATCATAAATACACGACTGTGCCACATGGTGGATTGGAAATGAACTGGAATTGGACATGTTCATAATAGCTTATAATTGCTTTCCCTTTTTATTTTTGGAAAATATTTTCTTATGTCCTATTCTACTCATCTACTTAATTATTATTTTTGTTGCTTTAAAACTCGATTAGAGTAAATAGTTAATTTAATGAAAAGCTTTGTGCATAAGTGATCCTACATTCATTTGGGTTCGATCCATTTTTTAACACCAGCTCACAATTAAATGTACTATTCTATCATTTAATTATTAAAAAAATAATTAATGTATTTATAGCGAAAAAACATTTTATTAATACATTGTTGCTCCGTTAGATATAGATTCGAATATTATGAATAGAAAAAAAAATTGTGAAGGAATACACCGATTATGTTCTTGAATAAAAAATAAAAATTAGTTATCAATAAATTTTATAAATATATTATGCATATAACAAAAAAAAAAAGAGTATTGCTACAGTTTCCGAACGAAATCCAAAATTTCGTCTAATTTTTTAATGATTAGGACGATATTTCAGATTTCGCTTTCGGAGGATACAACATTTTCAAAAAAAAATATATATAGTACAAAGAGTGTAGATGTAGTTATTCAATCATGAATTAGTATGTGCAATTACTTTCTTCAATTTTATATTGATGGTTACATCAAAAATTATACAAATAATAAAAAAATTTTATTGATGTAATATATATATATATATA